ACACATGCACCCATACACACACACATGCACACACGACGCAGACTCGCACCTGATTCGCCTCGCTTTGGGTCCGAGTATGGCCGCCCAAAGATGACGGGCTTCTTGCCCTTGTAGACCGTGTCGAAGGTGTGCTTGTCGAGGTCAGGCACGCGGTCAATCGTGCAACGCGACAAGTCACCATACGGCAACAGCTCCTCGTGGGTCTGTCGCAAGACATGTGAGTCAGGCACGCGAAACGCCGTGACTTTCTTCTGGCGTCGTCGGCGCCGCCGTTGCTTTCCGCGTGCCTGTGGAGCAGACGGTGTGTCTGACGCTCGAGCTCCCCCAAACATGGATGGTGCAACCCCAATGTTTGCTGCATGCTGGAGTGTGCTGTTTGTCACTCGAAAGGGGAGGCTACGAGCCGCCATGGTCCAGTCACTGATGCTATTCGTACCACTGCACCCCGACCCAGCAAGTACAGCGCACACTTCTTCCCCCGTGCTGCCACGTCTGTCATGTGTATGTGTTTGTGTTGTGTGTGTGTGTGGCGAGGGGGGAAGTTGAGTCAGTGCATGCGTCCTCCCTGCTTGCCATCTGGCAAAGGAATCAAGAAGTAGTACGCACACAAACACCCACACACACTCACTCACTCACTGACTCACCCACACACAAACACCCACACAAACACCCACAAACACACGCAAACACACACAAACACACACACACACACTCTCTCTCTCGCACACAAACACGCACACACGCACACACACACACACGCACACACACGCACACACACGCACACACACGCACACACACAAACACACACACGCACACCTGCTGTGAACATTGTTGTGCTTGCCATGGCTGCCACTAGAGAGGAGAGCAAGTGCGAGCGCGAGCGCCAACAGCGGTGACGACATCGTCGCAACGACGATGATAATCGTGCTGTGCTGGCTGGTGCTGGTTGTTTGGTGTTTGCGTCAGGCAGTGTCCTCCTCAAAGTCCTGAAAAGTACTTTTCTATGCACCACAGACGATGATGACGATGCGGAGAAACGGTCTTGTTGTGAGGGGTGTGGTGTTGTGGCTGTGGCTGTGCTGCTGCGGTGCGCCATCTGTGCTGGTGTTGGTGGGAGGCCAAGACGACAACGGCAGAGATGGAAAAGTAGGCGGCGAAGGACCAAGCCCCGCAGGCAATGCCGCCAGCTCGCAAGACTGCGAGGCCACATTCCTCGCCGGATTTGAGCAATGCGACAGCGAGCATAACCAGGTGTTCGGTGACGGGGAGAGTGCTGGAGTGTGTGCTTGTGTCGGGAAGAGCAGTGGCACCCGTCTTCCTCCGGCGCGGCGTTACCCGTCTTTCTCCCCGTCTTTCCTTGCGTGACGTGTTTGTGTCGATTTATATTGCTCCATTGCTCCAGTGTGCTGTTCACTTTCAAGCGCACTTCAAGGGCACTCACCTCTTGCTTGCATGCAACCTTTGCAGATCTACACGGACGAGGATGAGCGGCAGCAACAGGCAGCGGCTTTTGCGCGTTGTGTCGTCGACCTCACCACGGAATTTGGTTCGGCAACACTGAGAGCACACATCCCACTTGAAACCACTTTGAGTTTGTTTGCCTTCACAGAAGCACACAAGTCTACAAGAAAGCTATGGTGCTTGCATCTCTGTTGCCCCTGTCCGTTGTTCTTGCCATGATGCGACTTGTGTGGCGCACTAGTGTTACACCTGTTTGCACACTTCATCAAAGTCACACTCCATGCACAAAAAAACACAAACGCCCCTCTTCACATCAGTGGACTGCACCGGTGGCGACTTTTCTCTGCTCGACAAGATGATCGCGGGCATCAAGGAACGGGCCATGTGAGCAACAATCGAAGCAACGGCGTGCTTGCAAGCACGCGCCTTGCACGCGGCTCACTTGCGCTTGTGTATGTGTGCGCTTGCATATGTGTTGGGGTTCGCGTCAAGGTCGCCCGTGCAGGGTTGCCCTCATGAAGCTCACGAAACACCAACGCCTTTGCCTCTCTGTTCACACAGGACGGATCCCATCCCTGCAGAACTTGTTCAGTTTAAAGCAACGCTCGTGCAAAAAGTTAGTTCTGACTCATTGTGTGCAGATCTTGTCATTGCATGGACAAGAGGTGCATACGAAACATACGTCTTTCCACACGCATGCACATGCACGCCTCTCGTTCCGTTCTTCCAAACAACAACAAACACACACACACATACCAAGTACTCACACATACAAAACACACACACACACGCAAACACAAACACACACACACACACAAACACACACACGCACACATGCACACACACACACATACACACACACTCTCTCTCTCACTCCACCCCGTATGAAAGGACACACCGGCAGATCTGAAGCAAGTGATCGAGGAAGTCAACCGCAAAAAACGCGGCCGTGCAGAGGCGGCCGTGCGACGGCGACTTGTCCACAAGGCAGAAGCAAACACCCTTGCCATCCTCATGGCCTACAAGAAGGTGTTGACCA